ACCTTAAATGAGACAGTTATTTGAGAAGAATGTTATATTATAAACTAAAAAAGTTACATCTAGTGAATAATGATTGAGTCGAAACTGAACAGTTAGTTCTAGTCGATAGATCCAACAAGTCTCGATGTCAAATAGATATTTAAGATGGATATGAGTGAAGAGCGCGCCAATTGTACCGTTTGGGAAAAAAATCGAAAAAAAAATAAACTTAACGATAAAGGAAAAGTAAGTGCTGTATTTAATAGAGCGACGTCGAATATGTATAAAAGTAATATTTTCCTAACACTTCCATGTACTGTGGTGGAGATTCACGATATAACAGCCAATTTCTATATGCTCCAACAGTCTTGATGTATAAATTACTTCGACGAAAGTCACTCAGTACTTTGTCAGTAAAACTATTTTACACGTCAAAATTTTTTCCTAGTATTTCTCTTGATATTCAATAAAGTTTGCTTAAATAAAACTTGTTTAAAACAAAATCCCGATGACTTCAATGTCGCTCTACACTTTGTTAGTAAAACTGAATTTTCTCTCAGATGGAAAAAGATTTTTGCTTGATTTTTTGGAATATTTATCTACTTTACGAGATCAAAAAAGAATCAAATTTTTATCGCAAACGGTTTAGTTTTCATTGAGTTATAGGAATGACAAAATTGAAAATCTCGCTCTACATTTAGCGTGAATACAATTTTTTTTAAACTTCGCATAAAATTTTTCTGTCAACGAAGTTTATGAGACAAACTTTTTTTCGTGTCAAAGTCTTTTCCCCCTATTGCTTTTTGACACTCAATCAAATGTGTTCAAATCAGAGACTGACGAGATTATGAAAAAACTGTCCCAGCAAGACCCGTCGGGACCTATTCAGAGACCGTCTCCCGTCCCGTCCCGGCTAGTCCCACAAACATCTTTTTCAATAGTAGATGCTGTTGGATATGAATGAGTAAGTGTTGTAGCATTTCTGGCAAGAGACAAATTTATCAATGCGTTCTGGAGGACCACCCTCAGGGTTAATAATTGCAGGAAATCCAGATACTTGCCAACAGGGAGACGACTTTTTTTTGTTTGTATTGTTAATAACGACAAAACGATCCTTCTCTGTTTTGAGAAGATTTTCAATTTGTGCACAAGAATAAGTCGTATGATTTGAAGTACGAATAGGTGTTGATGGTGTTGAAGTATGAGAGGTGAGATCAATGCTTGATGTTGACGAAATAATACGAGAGCATGAAGAATAGCTACGACGATCGGCTTTTCTTGATGTTGAATCCATGAAAAAATATGAATCGAAAACAACAACTTTCGAAATGGATGAACGTAACGACAAGGCACAGAATAATCAATTATATTCAATGCCTTTAAAACTAGCTTTCTGAATGCCACTCGGAGCTTTTCACAATTCTAGATGTCCTTCAAGATATAACTTCATTCGTTATCATCAAATATCTTTGTTTCACAAATACCCTCATATTTACTAATATCAGCATTGGCTTGAAACCGATTGTAAAGCGGTGGGATCATATTATAAAAATCACCGTCAAAAAGTCGATATGGTTAGTTGCATCAATAAGCAACCTACATGTTTTGAGGAAAAGTGTAATAGTACAGCTGCACGAAGTTATACAATGTGAAAACTCATAACTGCTGTAGTTTCCAATAGTAACAAGTTGTATAGTAATCTATTGCCTTTCATATACGCTCACACTAAGAATGTAGTGAGAAATCTTTCAAAGCTTTTCGTCTCCTAACTTAGACTAATTGATATTGAACAACATATCAGCTTTTTTGTGTGATATTCTACAATTATGATATAATTTCTGAAGAGGAATTGAAACATTTGATGTTTTCTTATTTTAAGTCATTGTTTAACACAAATGGAAGATTTCTCAATTCTTATAAGACTACTCCTGGCAATAGCAAGACAAAGTGAACTATTAAATTCGATTTTTATGGTAGACTTCATAGTTCTAGTTTTCATGCTACATAGATATTGTTACGATTGCATCAAGTGACAGTTGGTAAAACTTGAACAGCAAAACGGAGTTTTTTACGATATGTATGTAAAGAAAGCATGCCTTGAGACTAATGGGTGCGGCGGAATAAATATATATTTATCTTTATCAAACAGTCTATCATAACTTATAGATAAGTTATACAAACAATAGGTGTAAAATATGCAATTTTCTTACTTAGTCTTTGTGTAAAACTATCTTATCCAACTTATTGATTGTTGAAGTGATATTATATTTTTTGTTTTAATTTGTTCCTATTCAGTATTCGAAAATTTTCATTGAAATCGGAATATGTATGTTTTCATACACGGAAAAAATGGGTGTGAGTGCGAGTGCGAATGTGAGTTAAGAAATAATTCGCACCCATACCAACAGCCATACCCATATAAACACCCACATCTATACAATCATACCCACTCAACTCACCAACATTTTTTAAATATTTTTCATGAGATTTGCTCAAGATTTGAATGATTACTGTATGCTGGTTAGACAAGTGATAGATGTTTCTGTTCTATAAAAGTCATTTATTACATGGTGATAATTTGTCGGCTATAATAATTAAGATGTATATGAGAAATCAGAAACTACTTTCTATCGTCGCAATAAATATTTAAACATGTTTTTATGGTGACAAATTCAGATTTTGGTTTCGCAATAGACTTATCCTGCTTGAAATTCAAAATTTCTAATTAACAACACTCATGTATAGAAGAAATTTTTCTCTTCTAACAATAAGACAGGACGATTTTAAACGAAACTACACCGGCATTCACATCCAAAAGCATGTCGAAATAACTCTTGGTCGGCAGAAAATAGAAAACTTATGGATTTTCGAGCAATGTTGACATGTTTTCAACGGATGCCGTCCAGATCGACAAGCGATTTGGCAAGAGAGCAGTCTTGACTGACTTAGTCTGAGTTGATCCCTTGATCAAAGCTAGTGGTTCATAACGTCGAAAAAAAAATTAACTTTATTTCAAAATTTTAAAACCTTTTACGTTCCTAATATTGATGAACAACAAAATACTAACGATCAAAAGTAATATTGAAGAAGCAAAAGATGAAATCAACAAATACTTAGGGCTTAATTTTTGAAGGTCTCTGAAATCATACTCGAAAGTATCATTGAAATACAAAGATCTAATTCAATAGGATGAAAGGTTCATTAATAGACCAAGGTATCAATTCATTTCATCACTAAAGCGCTAATGACAAACCAAAACTTTGTGTGATTGCTATATCATTCAAACTGTCGTTAGGAAAATTTTTGGCTTCATTTTTCAAGAAACACTTATTCCTATAGAAGCCATTTAAAAATATATACTACATCAGAAAAAAATAAAAACGCATACAAGCGTTATTGTAATTATGCTAACAACTGAAGTTTTCAATAAGAAAAAGAAACAGTTGGCAAGTTAGAAAACGATTCAATCCTATAAACATTGACGAGTTATAAATTGAAGAGGAGTGAGAAAACTACGCAAAAAAATAACTCAGGCATTCAAATGCTTTTTCATGAAAATTACAAAAAAAAATAAGTGCTACAGCGAGAACAGGGAAAAGCTTGCAAAAATTTACTAATGTTGGTAGAATCACTGGTTGTTTCCAATTATTATCGAATTTTTTTCCATATGCTAACTACTATTTTTTGAATGACTTTCGATCATTTATAACTGTCAAAGTCAGATTTTCCCTATTAGATAGAGGAATGTTGGGGGCATATATCTGTGCACTATTCATTAAATTCGAAGAAGTTTTTCAAGGGTATATGCCGTTGGATTTTTTTGTTGTCTATTTCTACAACTGTTCGTCGTAACCTAAGCTCGAGTTATACTAAAATGTAGCGTGAAGATTGTTGTATTACTTGTATAATTGTTCGAAATTTATACTTAGTCTTCAACTTCAAGGTGTATCGTTTTTTTTTGTCTTAGATAGTCAACCATCAACGCTTCACTCGTTTGTGTACCATCGTGAAAAGCGTACATCAAAAGAGGTAGGTGATCGTGCTTTTTTTCTAGTAGAAACTAGTTTCTATGCAACTATGAAACAAAAAAAAAGCTAACGACCAATCATCCTCATACTCTGTTAAATTTCGATAACGTCACTCACCGACAGAATTCATACTTTATATGGTAAAATACAATTCAACTATGGGTTTCAAACCAGGAGTCCTACAGTAAAAGTTTTCCACTAAAAAATTCACAAAATACGTTTTTATTTTAAAATATACTGGTATTGTTAACACTTTAGTTTTAATATAACTTTTTCGAGTTTATTCATGAGAGTTTTTTTTCCGCTAAAGTCGGGATGAATTCCGGGACTTTCTATGAAACATTTTTTTTGTTATGAGTTTTATAATCAAAACGTTTACTGAAGAGTTTCTGGGTTGAAGAATCCTATTAATACACATTGGCCAATGTACAAAACAAATTTTGATGACTGATCGTCGTGCAGAAACTCCTCAAAATATTCTCCAAAAAATATTATTTATCCTTGATAAAAACAGCATGTAAAGTTACAAATCTATGTTGTTTCTCTGTGTTAAAAACTATTTTAAAAACGTTGAAAACACCTAAACGGAATTTATCGCTACTATTTCTCATTCCATTACTAATTACCGTTTTTTTTCAGTGAAAGAATTACAGTTAGCCTTTATTGTGTTAGTATGAACTAGGTTTTGGACTCAGCAATAGAACCAACATTCCTCCATCGAGTCATACGGCTAACATATATAGTCGACTGATTTAAGATGAGTAGTAGTACGAACACAAAGGGCTGCTTCCGATTTTTTTCCTTCTGGTAGCACCTCAATTTTGTGACGAGAGCTTTTTACTCTTTTTGATTCCATGACTCTGACTAAACTATATGAGCCTGTCAGAAAAGAATCAGAAGAGTATAAGTATAAAGGTATGAGGCTGAAACGAAAACCGACCTCACTTCTACCCATACTTTCAACACATCTCTGAATATTTCATTTATTCTTTCTTAATTATTCTTTCTTCACTGTTAGGACTTCAAATATTTCAATCAACTCACGGTTATCGAAATAAGGTAAGTGTTACCTATTTTGAAATATTGATTAATAAGGACAAATGATCTTCACGTTTAGGTTTGTTCGTGAAATATCGATACTTAAAAATGAATAATACTTCGTCTGTAGTATGGCCTTATGGGTAAGAAGAACAATTGAGTGAGAATTGTGTATAATCTGAATTCATTGCAGTCAGAAGCAGAAGAAGTTTATATCTGGTAACTTGGCTGTTCTTATTATTATCGTCATATCTACTGTTGCTACTATTGTGATCATAGCACTACCAAATTTACATATATTTTCCAAAGAGAAATCTACAGAGAAAACAACAATGAAAACCACTAATAGAACCACTATGGGAACCACTATTAGAACCACTATGGGAACCACAATTGGAACCACTATGGGAACCACTATTAGAACCACTATGGGAACCACTATGGAAACCACTATTAGAACCACTATGGAAGTCACTACTAGAACCACAATCAGTACTACAACAATAACAATTATAAGTAATAAGATACATGAGTTGTCTTCAGTCTTTCTGTTCAGAAAACAAGGGCTTTCATCCGATCTATATTCTTTCGTTACGTTCGAATAGAGCTCAAAACCAAAACCAAAAGCTTTAAGCATATTCTCTACGGAATAAAGATTCGAAAGACGATGTACTTACTCTTGTTAGACAAAACTCATATGACGAGTATATTGCTCAAGACGACTAGATAGATAAACATATCAACATTTCTACCGTAGTCCGTGACTCCAATGAATTTTATAGACTGTGTCTTTCACGTATCAGTAGTAGAGTTCGATGAAGTGGAAATGGAGGCGAACATTAATTTTCTTTCCTTGTATAGAGCTGTTGATTAATTATTATCTGATGTATCGGTTTCTCCCAATATAATTTTTTGCATAATCTTATTCGTATTTGGCTTTTATTTCGTTACTTGAAATGATGCACTTTTCAGCTGCGTGCATCGAAATTGGATAGTCAGTTCATAGATCGCATACACAAACGATGGTAACACACTACATCTACTAGCATTTGTGATTAGAAATGAATACGTGTGAGGACCTAGGGGAGAATTTGTTGAGTTAGTCGTTACCTTATATCATTCCCAATAAGGTTGGATTCATTTCACTATGAGTCGTATCAATGAGGATAAATAGAAGGCTCTCATTCACCATTATCGAAATGACAACTGATGATACTATCATTTATGACTTAGATTCTTGATTAACAAATCGCATATTTCGATGATAGACACATGACTGAATAATATAATAGCATACATACGACACACAAGACTAAAACCATCGTGAGTTGACGTAAGTCTACTCGATCAATATCTGTGTTGAGTACGAATCAGCTTGTTTAAGTTATATTTCATTTTAAAATATTTTAAAACTGGTTGAGTCAGAAACCTTTACGAAGGAATAGCTTTAAATTGCAATGTTACGCAATATTCCCTGCATATCTTCATTTCCAAGACAAATAATGTATGTTCTAGTGGACACATTGAAACAGTTTTTTGGAAAGTATCAATTTCGAACGATGATTCTTTATAAAGAAACAACGACCTTTCGACAGCTGTGCATTCTCAGTGATCATAATATACATATATCTTTTTTATTTTACTATTTTTATAGCAACAGGCGATATCTAACCATAGTATCAAGGTTGTTTGGTAGGGGCAAAAAGGCCATTGTTTCTACCAGTGACACTTTATCTTTACTGGACCCTAAAAGTAAAGTAAAGTGAATCACAACACTTCAAACCTAGTGTTGAGTTTCTAATCATGCATCATATACTGATAATGGTGCAGCACATCCAAATATTTTCAGAAACATGTCTCCAATTAATAAGTGCAATAATTAGAAAAATTATTAATTTCACTTACCAAAGAGTAGTATCTCTAACTAGTTGAGAAATATCTCGAGGTCATATTAAGGGATGGACGCATTTACTTAACTGAAAATTAGATTCAATTTTATTACTGAACATTTGATTTACTTAAGCTAAAGTGATTAAGTGACAAGCTTGAGTGGGGTTGGAGTCTGACTTTAGAAAAATTAAAGTTAAAGTAGCTTTTTTCACTAAAGAAGAGCTTTCTTTTAAGAAAGAAACAATCTCCAATAAATTTTGACCGAAGAGTATCAGGATCGAGAAATACGAATCTGCAATCCATTGTTCGAAATCTCGAGTTTGATTATTGCCACTAAAAGTGAGCTTTTCCTGGATAAAGTGGTATTTTTGTAGAAAAAGATTTTTGAAGATGTCAAACTCGAAATTTCGAAAAATCGATTTCAGATTCGAATTCCTCGACTCCGAATATCTCAGGTCAAGCTTTATAAGAAATTGTTTCTTTCTTAAAAAAGCTTTTCTTTAGTGAAAGAAGCTACTTTAACTTTATTTTTCTAGAGTCGAAGTGCCACTCTACTCAAGCTTGTCACGTAATCACTTTAGTTTAAGTAAATCAAATGTTCAGTAATAAAATTGAATCTAATTTTCAGTTAAGTCAATGCGTTCATCCCTTAATATGACCCCGAGATATTTCTCAAATAGTTAGAGATACTACTCTTTGGTAAGTGAAATTAATAATTTTTCTGATTATTGCACTTATTAATTGGAGACATGTTTCTGAAAATATTTGGATGTGCTGCACCATTATCAGTATATGATGCATGATTAGAAACTCAACACTAGGTTTGAAGTGTTGTGATTCACTTTACTTTACTTTTAGGGTCTAGTAAAGATAAAGTGTCACTTTTAAGAATAATATTTTAATTTGTGTTTGTAGATTGCATTCAAGACCAGTATTTCATTCGGGTTTATAACGTTGATGATCAAGCAAAAGCAGTGGTAAATCAACATAATGTTATAGCTCTAAATTATTCTCAAAGTTCGAGCTATATTAATGTTACTGCTTACTTAAACATTGGTATGAATAGTTTTACCTTTACAGAGTTTAACTACGGTGGTGGATACACTTGGGGTTTTGAAATACGAAAGAATAATGATACTATTTTCAACGATGAAGCAGGAACAACAGGAGTTATTGGTGCAAATGATAATGATTCTTCAAAGACTAATCAATATGTTTACAATCGAACAGTTACTATTGATGTTATGTGTTCTTGATCGAACACTGTTTGTTTACTCTAAAAACAAAGAAAAAACTTTTTCCTTCTTTATAAAAAGCTTTCAGCGCAATTCCTACGAAAATAAAATGGAAAGCACGACTGAGTTGTTTCAATTGAATATGAAGATTTTTTTTTGCCGAGAAATTTTTTTGTACCTTCTCTGCTGCGATCTGTTGGACAGGGGTGAAGACTCGCTTGTCTCGCTGAAAACTTCAATACTCATATCCAATCCTATTTCACAAAAAAACACATTTTAAAACAAAATCTCTGATAAAAAATTGATATTTTGTATCATAAGCACATTCTGAACCAACACAGACTCTACTGAATAGAACATTTAATATTGTCCTGAAAATATAGACTTCCATCTTTACGAATATTTTCTCCTTGACAATCATACAGTATAGTACGGTTTAATGTAAAAAGATTGGAGAAATAATCAATTTTTTATATACATATTTTTATTTTGAAACTCACTATAAAAGTAGTGAGTGTAAATTTGAATACACGTTCGCGAGGCTTCTCTTACAGACATCTTTCTGTTTCATACAACGATATTTGAAAATGGATTTTCTAACAGAATAACGTATAAAAAAAGAAAACTGAATTAAATCAGCCTTTACAGACAATAGTATTATGGTATTCTGTGTCCTCAGCTGTTGGGCTTGTAAACTATTACGATTTCTATTAATCTATTTTTAAAATCCTGAAGCCAAAAGTCCTTTTCTTCTTTCTCGTGATACAATGTGTTGATCCATTTTTTAGTTGATCACATAGACTTGAAGATAATACTCCTCAAGCTATCTAGTGTCTTTGAGGAAGTTTTGCCATTTGTTATTGTGATACTCTGATGTTTATTTCACATTTTAATCCGATCGGGGCTGTGTTCACCAGCTCCTTTCATTACAGAAGTATACCAGTTGCTTGTTTTGTTCACATAAAAGAAGATAATATTTAGCACGACGAAAAAACAAAAAAAAAATACAAAGAAGTACATCTTGATTATGCAAAAGAGGCTGAAAACGCTAGGAGCTATTTACAGTAGACGGTTTCACAAAACTGTCAGGGCAGAACACGAATAGTTTTAGACTAAGACAAAATTTTCAATTGTTAGAGGAACAAAAAAAACCTAAAAGAATCGAATATGGTCAGAAAATTGTTGGAGGAGGGAAACACAGCTGAAGTGCTCCTCAAAATCACCAAGGCAAAACTGACAGCCACAAAATGTCAATTAATTTAAAACAGTGGTATTTTGAAACAAATACAACAGAATAAATAATTGAAAAGCATAAAAAAAATAATACTATATCTGTCTTTTTCCATGCAAAAATATTTTATAGCTGGTCTAGTACGAATTTTTAAGAACAAGATCGAATAGAAATGTTCGACACATCATAATGACGTCAAAAAAAAAACACATCATAATAAATGAGTTCGAAAAATAAGGAAAATGTAAGAAAAGTAGATCTATTATAAGATCTGCATTATCCAATCAAAAGTTATTCAAACGAATGCCACGATATGGTGCTGATGATGTTTGAACATTATAGAGTATATCTGGGTGTGGGTGGATGGATCTTCTCTTTAGCCCTGTCCACCAACAAAATCTGGAAATCCATTAATGATTTCGAGCAATACTCAAATTATTGAGTTTATTGTTTAAATTAAAATTTTTGTAAATCATTCCATCAAAAATCAAGATCAAATCTATTTTAAGTTCACTTTTTCTAGAACAGGAAGTGCCTGAGCTCGTGCCTATACTAGATCCAACCCTTAATATTATTCGTCTAATGAAAATGATAATTGAACTGAATGATGAATATCCATGACTTTTTAATACACATAAGCCAACAATAATCAAAATAGAATGACAATCAATACAAAACTAATATTTTGACAAAGCTTTTAAATATCATCATTTATGTATATAAAATATCAACAATAAAGTTGCACAGAATAAATACTTGCATTATGAATGATTGATCTAAACAACAAAGTCAATCTAACAGTTTGATTGATAATAAATTGTAGCCTAAATTACTTTTATTCTTATTATGACTATAAATTTATTAATTAGAGATATAAACAAAAAGAATGCGGAAGATGATCAGAAATATAAGTTTTGATGAATATTTGTTACGGTATTAATAATAAAAATCGAATTGTAGGTTATTTACATAAATATAAATAGATGTAAGCACAATAGGTGAGACAGTCATATAAAATAAAGTATTTGTCTGCTTTTTCAATGAAAATAGTTAGAAATATATCAATTTAAAAATTTTCTAAACTATCATCAGAACCGAGTGTCAAAAAGTAGATTGAAATTGTTGTGAATATAACTACATTGGCTGCCATTATAAAACCCATTGAACCGGCTAG